GCCTTTTTGGCCCTGAAGCAAGTGGGAAGCTTGCTTTGCCTACCATCTGCCCCACACTGTAGTCGAAGCCGTTTGCTTGTCTGGAACTTTCCGTCCTTGCTGATTGCATGGGCTTTGCACTGTTGGCAGGAAAGCCTGCCACCCTGCCGCCACATGACATGCGAGTTGTGCCCATCCCATCCATCGGCCTCCTCCCAAGGCCCGTTCCAGCAAGTCGTGGTGGCGAGAGCCACCAACTTGTCTTTTGCAGCATGCCGCAAAATGCGGCTTTTGCCCTCCATGCACACAAGGTAGTTCTTCTGGAGCTCAAATCGGTGGGCTGACATCTCAGGCAGCGCGCCCGTCAGCATCTTCTGTAGCGTCTCTCCTTTAGAGAGGCCTGTTTGGCTTCCTCCGGTGATTTGGAGGTTTGCTCCAGCAGGACACTTTTCATTTTTGACAGCTGCCAAATCAACCATCTTCCAATGTTTTGTGATCCTTTTGCTGCAGCCCCCACACTGAAGGCCAGAACCCTTGGTCTGCCAGACATGCCCGCCGTCTTGGTGCTGGTTGCCAATGTCCAAAAACATCTGGCTCTTGGCCTCTCTGGCTTGCGCTCTGTTCTTTTTCCCTGTTTCCTTGGCCTCATGCAAAAAATGACCTTTGTCCTCAAAGAGATGCTTGGTGCGCTGAATTGCTAATGGAGCTATCTTCTGGTACCTCTGGTCGGTCACCTTCAGTTCCTCCTCAAGCGCTTCGGCTTTTTGGGTCTGCGGGCAGGTCCACAGCAAATGAATGGTGGTTGCTTCAACCTGACAATGTGGGCAGATCACATGCTTGCCTTCTTGTCCTTCGGAACTCTTGGAAAACAGGGCTCCTTGGTGCCAAGTCTGCAATGCCAAATTTTGTTGTTTGTTGAGTGTTCTGCTCAGTCTCCGCCAAGGAAGCCAATCAAAGGGTTGCTGCACCTCTGACAACTGAGATCGTTGGTTGATCTTCATGACCGTCTCCCATCTTCTGGCCCGTGCAAGCTCTTGCTTGAGGAAAAACCAGTCTGCGTGCATGTTCAGCCGGAACTCGGGTTGCCCATTGTGTCCTGGCTTTGTCCACTCAGTGTGGCTCTCATAGTTCCAGCCATGTTCATGCAGGTAGCATTGCAACGCAGCTACGGGACCTTTGGCGTGCTGCCAAGGATACTTCACCTGCTGGAGTCTTTCTCGGCGGTGAACTTGCCATGCTCGCCCTAGATGTTCCGGCCAGTTTCCATAGAACCGACGGTAAAGCCTGACCTGGTCTTCAAAGGCACCATAGTCAGGATCACGGTGTTGAGGCATCATGTCAAAAAGGATGTCAACATTCCCTGTCTTCTGCAGACCCATCTGACGGCCCATGGTGGCCTTGAGACGTCGCCGAACCTGCGGGGCCAGTCCCATGGCCTCGTGTCCCCAACTAACGCCAGCGACGATGGACCCCTTGTACAGCTTCAAGCGGATGGACTGCAGTGCCCAAGCCTGGTTGCTCAAGGTTTTGCAGCACGTACCTCTCTATGCGACTGTAGAGGTTGCCAACTCTTTGGCCGCCTTGGTGGCGTCCTTCATTCGAGCCTGAACAGTGAAAGGTCCACTTGGCATTTCATTGATCTGCTTCAATCTCAGGCTCATTGGCTGAATGCGGGATCTCTGATCATGCATGACCAGATTGCTCAAATCGTGAAAGACCTCACGATGTTTGTGTTTCATCCAGCCTTCCCATGCTCGCACTGAGAGCACTTGTACAACCACTTTCTTTGACAAGTCCAGATAGTGTGCCATCAATCTCAAGCCGTAGTACCATGCACGTTCTAATGACTGAGCTCCTGGCAGCACGGTGGTTACCGCACCTTTGCGGTAAAGGACTCCATCAACTTGTGCGTGATGCACCAAGGCAACAACGTAATGTTTGAGGCGCGGTGGGCATTTGGATGAGACCCTGTGACCAGAAGTCAAGGTTGATTCCCAGCTCAACTTCTGCCATGTCTGCCCTGTCTCTTGATTGGTGAGGTTGTCAGGTTCTTTGTTCAACCAATTGACTTCAACTTGCTGCTCTTCAATCTGATGCCATGCTTTCTCATGGTTCTGCTGCTTTGGTGCTGGCCCAAACTTGGACAGTTGCCTGACTACGACTTCTTCAAAATGCCCTGCAATACTGAAGCGCAACATGGCATGAGGCTTGAAAGGAACCATCCAATCTGCTTGAATGCGCATGTCCGCAATCAAAAGATTTGAGACAAGGGCCCAATCCAACTCACTACCAGTGTTGCATGTTTCTTCCCCAGTTGCCAGGATCTGAACTTGCATTGTTTGCGCCATTGTCGTTGTCGTGAAAACTTCCGGGGTTACATTGAAGTCACGAAAGATCACAGCCGATTTCTGCAACTGCTTGACAAAAGCAACTAAGCTTCCCCAAAGTGTGGCGTTTGTCGGGCCTTGCATTCCCTCTCCACACTTGAAGTGCGGCATGATCATGACCAGTGTGCTGTTGGCGAAAGTCCAACTGACAGCATACCATCCGCAACCTTCAATAATTTGTTTCTGCAAGAAGTGGAAACGCATGTGCCAAGGATATACCATCAGAAGCCCCCCATAGGTGGCCCCTTTGACACTCTCTGCTGCAGGCTCTCCTAGTACTCCGAGGCCTCGAGTGGCAAACCATTGTACCATCTTTTCATGATCCCCTGGGCCAAGGTGTGTTTCTACCATGAAGAGCGGTTTGCGAGGTCGAGTGACTACCCACTGTCTGACTGAATGACCTAGCTGAGTGACATTGGCGAAGTCAAATTCAATGCTTTCCTTACACCCTCGTTTGGGGTGTGGTGAGCTATCATCAAGTGGACTTCCGGCAGGTGGTTCATCAATGTCGAGCCTTCCCAATGCACCTCATTTTCCACGAAGATCAGCGTACAAATGAGCTGGAGCAGCTCATAGCAACGTGGGCAAACACAGCAGAAGGCCAAGTGTTTGATGGTCAAGGGCTATGGGTGGCTCAAATAGGACGATATAGGCAAGTGAATGGGGCCTGGACCAAACATCATCGTGGACTTCAGGTACCTTCCATTTTCAACCTGCCTTTGACCATGGATGGCAATGAAACACAAACGCTGCAATTTTCTGTCATTGGTTTCTTGTGCCACTCCGGCACAGCTCACCAAGAAGGGCATTTCTTTGCTGTCTTTGTCTATTGAGGGCTGTATTGGCTAGTAGACGATGGGGCTTATCCCAAGGCTATCCAAGGGCTCAGTGACAAGATCAAACAGCAGACTGTTCAAGTGTGGGCCATACCCTCAAGCCGGATGCTGCCCGCCAATGTTGGCAGTGACCTGGAGGAAAAACCGAGCCGACAGATCAGAAAATGAGACGCGTCATCCTGCTTGTTGTCATCGAATTGTTCCCAAAGCTTCTCTATGCCTGGAAGATTTGGGAGCTGCGCAATGTCATCTGCCCTGAGTGCCTCCAGAACTGCCCCTGTTGCTTTTGCACACAACTGCCTGCCGTCCATGAAACTTCCTGCCCATGCCCAAAGACGAAAGGCAGCATTGGCAAAGCATCTATTGTTTGGGTTGCCCAGTCTGCATTGCAAACTCTGAGCCACAAAATCGAGCGGGCTCATGTGACCCCGCATTGAGTCATCTCTTCATCATCGCTGGTTGGGATCATCGTGATATCATGATCACCAGCACCCCCTGTGAAGCCTGGAAAAACTCCAGCCTCCGTGGTGGCCATCAGCTGGATGGCCTGTGTCCCCATGTCAGGAAACGAAGAGACGTGCCCACATCCTGAGCCAAAAACTGCACAACCAGTCGCTTTGCTCTCTCTGTTCCCCTGAGATGTATCATAGCTAGTAGTTGTGTCATCCCCTTGCTGAGCTCTTGCCTGTGCCATGGTGTTACCCGCGCTTCCTTCTTTTTGCGGCTGTTTCACCAAGCTTTGTTGCCAGGTCTTTCACCTGAGCTGATGTCGCCTGCAAGCCTACGCTAGCAATTGACCAAGGCTTCTGGCGAGAGCTCCTCTGCCATTTCAGCATCTTCCTGCTTTTGGTTTTCCAGCTGTTGATTGTATTGGGATGTGGTCGTCTGCAGCTCCTTTTGAGCCGTCTCGATCTTGGTCTGCTGCCTTGGCCTGAATGGCCGCCTTTTTCTCTGTGAGTTGTTTCAAGGTACCCACAGCTTGCTTCACTTTGGATGCTAGTGGCGGTTCCGGTGGAGTTGGAGCCACCAGTTTTTCTACCGCCTCCTTGAGGTCCGTTGGAAGGCTCTGCAAATGCTCCTTGATCAAAGTCGGCAGATCTGGAGTAGCTGGAGCCTCAACCTCCACAACACCCATGGCCTGACACTTCTCCTTGAGAGCAGTGGGTAGGTGGTCCCAGTGGTCCTTCAAGGCCTTGTGTATTGCTGGCTGTTTGGCCTTTTTGGCCTTCTTTCCTCTTTGGCCTCCATGAAGGCCGGGTGGCGGTTCAAGCAGGGCTTCCTTGAAAGTCTTTATGGGCCACCTTTGTCCTGAACCCTCAAAGTTCCATGGCGCCCAAGTCACCTTTTTGGATTTCCTCACGTCCGGTAGATGGTCTTTTTGCCATCTTGTGCCGCACTGGTTGCATGTCAACCTGGGGTGCGTCATCAATCTTTCTCCCCAAATCCAGCTTTGCCGGCAATGGGTGCAAACCATATATTGCCTTCTCATCTTCGATCACGGTCTGGCCTTTCTTGTCCGCAGTCTTGTTGCGACCGTGTAGTGCTTGGCAGCCAGGTGACCGACAGGTCACGTGGCTTGATGCTGAAATGGCTTGAGCCGCGAAGAACAACATGTATATACAGTATATATATATATATGTATCAAGTATATAACTAGCTCGGAATGCACAAAGTTGCTAGAGTTGGATATGGGTCAAAACTTGGTTGCAAATTGTGAATGGGAAAAAAGCAGTGGCAGTCTATTTCAGAAGAATCATGTTGCAGATGGCAGGTTCTGCAACCAAGCGTCTCATACAAGGTACCATCTTGGCTGCTCTATTTGATCGTCATCATGGCAGCATCTTGTTTGCAGTACTGTCACAAAGAGGACAATGTGCACAGTGGCCGTAATCAGCGCAAGTGTGCCGTACTAAACACAAGTGTGCATGTGCCCTTGTGAGCATACTAGAGACAGCATACGCAAACTTCTTTACTGCATTTCATTGCCAGTTTGCCATCGGAGTTTGATTTGTTTATAGGCATTCTGCCCATTGCCTTGGTGCAATCTCAGGCACTAATTTTTCAGACCGGCCGAGTAAATCTCAAGGCCGCCACGCAGGATTTCAAACCGACGACCCTGTGCAAAGCGTTTGGTGTTTGGAGAAGGGTACTGGTACAAGTCGAACACTCACTTCCTCCCCTAGCAGTGCTCTTTCAGCCAAAGATCCGGGATCCGACTCTAACATGCTCTTTCCATGCCAGGTCATCCGAAAGGCCTGTGATCTAAGTACGGAGGCCGGGATCAGTTGTGGCAGGAAGTCCAGATAGATGATTAATTAGGGGCGATCTTTCGGTTGAGAATGCACGGATCTCCACAGAGAGGCGGATCCAACAATCCCGCATGACCCATGTCGTTGACCACCGCTTCACTGATACTGCATGTCATGAGTTTTGCAAGTTCTGCTATTCAATTTGGACTTGCTAGTGAGGACACATACAGTGGGGCACTCATGTGTCTCCCAAAAGGAGGGTTCAGCATGTCCCGAGATTAAGCCAAGAACTGTGCCTGCTTTTCATCTCCAATGCAACTGCTGGTTGGGACACCGCTGGTGATGGAGGCTCAATACCCCTTTCAACTCTCACGCATGCACAAATTGCTAAGAATCTAAGTTGCAGAGAGTCCGACTTAGATTGTTTACGGGATGCTGTATTTGACCCTAGAAAGAGGTTACTTGCGGCATGGGCAAGATACACAATCTCAAAGGCATGTTCTTGCTGGACGTCAAGCTTCATCATGTCGAAGCCAAGTTGCTCCTACCCAAGTTGCTCCCGGTCAAGGGGACGTCAAGTCCAACCGGGGAACAGAACTCCCAACCCATCGTTTCGCACGGGCGCCACGAGCGCCACGGGCGCTTGCTGCGGGCGCCATGACGCAAGAGAACCTTACGAACGTTGCCCAGGAGAGTCGATGGAATTGCTTGTTAGCCTGGTGCATTGTAAGAAAGAACTGGCATGATCAAAAAAGGTCTATGAAGGTCTGAAGAGAACTGAAAAGGTCTGACTGCTCCCAGAGTCCAAGCTTCTTCTCTGAAAAGACAAAAGAAAGACAGAAGCTGTTTACCCTACGGTAACAACCGTGTTTTCTGCTTTGAAAGGCCTTCCAAGCTGAGCCAATGCTTTTACCGGATTCTAGTGAATAGTCTTCCGGTGAATGATGAACAGGAGTCTCCACGTGCGTCTTCTGATAGAGTCTTGGCTAGCACTGGTGTGAAAAGTGTCACATAATGTTTGTCAAAGCAAAAGATAGAGCTAGACTGAGTCTATGCACAATTGCAGAGTCAGAGATGTCAAAGGCAAGTCCGGAAGATGGGCAAGCCACTCTACACCGTATCTCGTGTGACGCCTCGTCTTTTCTCATGCCAGGCACTCAGAAGACTCCTTCACCTGGAATGAGGCCTGGGTGCTCTGCTCTGGAGGTTGCCCACAAGCGCTGCCCCATCAATTCATGACAGAATGGAATGGATTGCAAAAGATTGCAATGACTTCCTGCGACATGATCCCTCCAGGTCGCTTGCTGCTTCTTCTATTGTTTTAAGATGTTTTAAGCATGTCCTTAATCCACCGGCCAACCCCGACGCCCCTCACGCCCTTAGGACGCCACAGTTCCCCAACGACTCTCCGAGCCTCGCCTGCCGGAGCGGGATTTGACACACACGGTTGGAGTTTGGGAGATGCATAGTTTGGAGGCTCAAGGAGTTGTGATCAGATCGGTTTTGCTCACGATTTGCTTGGCTGAAAAAGAGGGGGCTGCATGGCCACATTGCTTCGAGAAAGACTGTGAGCACGATCAGAATAGCTTTAAGTGTCATGATGTGGCCTGTTCAGCTGCATGTCATTGACCCCTATTTAGGGCTCAAGGGACAGTGGATCACCGCAGGACTCTTCTGAAAACTGCGGAGCAATTCGAGGAGTGCAAAAGCATTGTCAGCGGTTTTGTGGCCCAAAGGACTAGCTGCTAGCTTTCTGCTCTTGTCATGCTCGAAGGAGGTTGCTTGGTGAGATCCTAGCTACCCACAACCTCGCATAGATCTCACGGGCAAAAGCAAGATAAAGCAAGCATGTATTTGCAATTGAAACATTAGTTAGACACAATAAGCTATTAGGAACAAGTGCATCGCTACTAGTAACAAGTGCCTTACTAGTAGTAACAAGAAGCTAGTAGAAACAAGATTAATTGAAGGTGTCCGCTGCAGTACTCTCCCTGGCGTGGGGTCCACGCCAGACGGTCCCGAAGGAGCTGTTTGCACTTCGGAAGGCGACAGATTTCAACCTGGAGCAGACGGAAGAGATGCTTGCTCCATGTGGATGTTTCACCAGGTTCCGGTGGTGTGAATCATGCCATATCAGGCCGAGTCACCACCCCCCGAAACACGAATCTACTGTGTATAATACAATAATATATCACACACACATATATATATATATATGATTATACATATGCTTTTGTTGTAAGATTTCTGGCTATATCTGAATGTGTATATATATATATATATGATGAACATTCTCCAGATTTGCTCTAATTTAGGGGTTGGGCTGACAGTCATGCTGGCATGTCCATAGCTTAAACTACAAAAAACAAGATGCACTGTCCCTTTCTGACCGAATGACTGACATCTTCCAGGGGTCCTGTGAGGCGAACCATTAAAGCTTATGAAAACTTGGAGGTCCCAAACCGCACATTTTGAGGCGTTCTCAGCATCAAAGCAGCCCGGAAGTGTGTGTCACATGAGCTAGTAGCAACTCTTTGAAGGGCTTCCAAGCCAAGGACCGAGGAGAAAGCTGACCAGCCCCAGCAGGACCTGAGGGATGTCCCTTTATCTTAAGAAATCCTTTGAAGAAAGTCTAGAAGTTCGAACCTGTCCTGTAGATGGAGTTCCAGACAACAGACTCTGAAATCTCTGAACTAAATTGCTTGAGGATAGTTTTTGCATTGGACAGGAGGATGTCGAGAACGAGGCGCTTGAACAAGCGATGACGTTGGAGAAACAGTGTCTCGGCTGATCGTGAAAGAAACCGAGGGAGCGAACATCAGCTACTCATCATCGAGTTGGACAAATCCCACACCGCCTTGGACTACTGTAGCATGCCCTGCATACGGAACTGGTGTATATGAGCAGGGTCTAATCTAAGCAAATTACTATTCTCAGTGGACCACAGACTAGTTTTCATCTCTTTGTTAATGAATGGCGCTGGTGGCGAGATACACAGTTGTTCTGGAGAATGGGTCCTTGTTGCATTGTTGCTGATACTGCTTGGCATTTGTTCCGAGCGCTATTTTCCACAACTCGCGGCAACGTGATGTTTGCACACGCGACAACTTACCGTGTTCAGCAGTCACCCCAACACCATGCTGCCAGATGTTCCTTAGCTTTCCTTAGCCAAGAATTAAAGTGTGTATGTATACAGTATACATACATTATATAAGAAGAAGGATCGCTCTCATATACAAGAAACTTGTCCAGAATCAAAGCAGAAATGTGACCCTGGACAGAAGAAGGACCATCAAGTCCCCAAGCAGAGGTGCCTCAATCATCCTAAATCTAACTTCAGTGCAACGGCTTGCGCAAATCAATGGAACTGATTGGCCGGTGCACGGGGCGCGGAGCATTGGATTATATCTCTCTACATCAGATTAAATATCGCTACCATGTGTGACCTGCTCCTCCTCTTCCTCCTCCTGCTCCTCCTCATCCTCCTCATTCGAATGTCTAAAGTCAATGTGTTTCAACCGTAGAACTGAAAGCATTCCGAGCACAAACATCGCTTAACATCGTTTATGTATATATATACATACATACATGGATGTTCAAACAAAGGACCTTCAAAAGGGAGAGAAGGAGCAATGGGGTTATTGGGGGGCTTCTAACAACTTGGTAGCATGTTAATCCATTGCTTTCCAGTGCTTTGTTTCGGCACCTTCCATTGGAGACCTTCAGGTGAAAGAACCCCACCGAAGAAAATAAGTTCCAAAAACTCGAGGTGCGAGCAGTTCCGCCTTGCCCGCTTGGCGGTGGCTGAGATGGTCGAGGAGGCTCGCTGAAAAGGGTAGGGGACAAAGTCCCTTGAAGCCTTTTTTGGAAGGGCTTTGGATCAAGCCAGTGGCAGGCGCCTTCGGGCCTTCGACATATGTTCACATCAACCAAGCCACAGGAGTTCATTTCAGTCACATCGGTAGAGTCAGTCCCTCACTCAATGCGCACCGCCCGTGGACGTACCGCCGTGCGGCGCAGTGACGTGCTCAGGCCTTGCGCCCTCGTTCGCCGAAGCGAACCAACCATCGGAGCCTTTCGCGAGGTGGCAGGGTGTTTGTGTAGAGCAAGGGATTGGCTGAGTCAGTAAACCTAATGCTTACGACCCGCTTCGGGTAGAGGGTATGAGAAATTGTGGCATTTTGATATCACCAGTGAGGGTTCACAAGCTTTGCGCATGTCCGCTAGCCTTGGAAATTGTGTGTTCTGCCTGGAAGAGTGTTTCGGTCTCCTGTCATGCTTTGGGTGTCTTTGAATTACAATCAGAACATATCAGAACTGACCTCTGAAGATGTAGCAGTAGCAGCACGGAAGCCTATGACCATGCAAGCAGCTTTGGCATCCACCACTCATCGCAGGATTTATATTTATGCACCGCACTTGCTATGGAGCATTCAGGCAAGCAGCGGCTCAACCATAGCCCTTCAGCACCATCCTTGCGTGCAAAGCCAATGTGCGGGAGCTTACCATTGAACCGTTGAATCATGCGAACAGACCTTTCAGGCATTCAAGTTATTGTGAAGCCTGATCGCAGCAGACGATTCTATGCCATTGACTTCATGTTGGATACTGAAGACAAAGTTGACCTTCTGCCTTCTGCATTGAGCTGAATAGATCAGGCTCAGATTAGGATGAAAAAGAACTCGAAGAACATCCATGTTTTGGCTGCACAGTTCGCCCATTTCGAGGCTCCCCAAGGCAGCTTTTGTTCCAGAAGAGCGTCGTCGGAAGGCGAGTTGGGCCCGAAGGGATGATGTTTGGACTATAGTAAGAATGCTCCTAGTAGCGATGCCAGGAGCCCCTAGTAGCGTCCTTGCTCCTAGTAGTGATGCCCTTTGTTACTAGTAGCTTCTTGTTACTTACATCATGCTTGACCTGCATGATTTTTCGTCGTTGTTCGTCGTGCGCCCGTCGTTCCCTGACCCTCAGGTGAGCAGCCCCAGGTCATCTCCTTCCGAGAGGCCGGACCTCGGTTCCGTCCTCGCT